ATGAGTCGGTGAAACTCCGACGAAACAGTTTGTCACAACCCCTCGTTTGTTGTCCTCTTCTCTCTCTCTGACTACGGTTTACCGGGCAGTTCTGTTTGTGACGATATATGCTACGACTTCGCTAGCTTCCTACTGCGTTTTTTTCCGGTCAGGTCGAGCGGCAGTGGTCGGGGCCGTTACTAGGCGGCCTTGCTGTGCCTCTAGTGCCAGCGGCGTGTTTTGAGTGTATTTTTTGGCTGTGACAGACCTTTCTTTGTTTCGTGGATGTTTTGCTGGCTTGTGATGGGGTGTGAACCAAGGGTCTGTAGAGTTTTCCATCTGGTGTGGGTGAGTGATAGTCTACTTTGATTTTGGTTAAGGTAGATAATCATTTACAGTGTAATCTGTGAGGGGATTCTGCAGACTGTTGAGGGTTCAGCTTCCTGGTGAGTCGGTGAAACTCCGACGAAACAGTTTGTCACAACCCCTCGTTTGTTGTCCTCTTCTCTCTCTCTGCCTACGGTTTACCAGGCAGTTCTGTTTGTGACGATATACATATATATATACTGTCAAACAGAGCTCCCCAGTAAACCGTAAGCAGAGAGGGAGAAGAGGACAACAAACGAGGGGTTGTGACAATATATATATAGTCAAACAAAGATGTCCGGTAAACCGTAGGCAGAGAGGGAGAAGAGGACAACAAACAAGGGGCTGTGACAAATTGTTTCGTCGCAGTTTCATCGACTCATCAAGAGGCTGAACCATATATATATATATATATATTCGGGACGGGCCGAACGCGGACCCGAAAAAAAAAAAAAAAAAAAAAAAAAAAAAAGTCATCAGAAAAATTTGAAAAAAAGATATGTTATGGAAAAAAATAAACTAAACAAGATTTGCCTGAGCATTACATCCGAATTCCTTACCAAATTTGAAATAAAAATAGAATACGGAAAACAAATATTAATAATAAAAATAAATAAAAATAAAAAGAGAATTAAATTTAGTGAGTGCGCGAGCATGTTTTCGACACCGCCATCTTTGGCGATTTTTTATTTTTTTTTGGCATAGATAAATGCCCTGAAAATTTACAGATGTCTACTTCACATAATACAAACCCACTAAAAAAGTTTCAAAAAATAATAAAATTGTTTAGACCCCGAACTAAAGTGAAAACAAAAATTAAAAAGTGAAAAAATACGTGGGCGAGCACGTTATGACACCGCCATCTTTGGAGATTTTTAATTCTTATTTGGCTTATCCAAATGACTTGAAACTTTACAGGCGTGTACCTCACGTCATAGAGAGCTCACAAAAACAAATTCAGAAACAAATAATTATTTTTAGGCCCCAAAATTATTTTTGGCGGGGGCCGAACGTCGTCGGGTTCGGACCCCGTACGGGACCCCGAACGCCTGTACGTACGGAGGTCTGGACGGGGACCTCCGTACGTATGGGCTGGTGACCCTTTATACATATATATGTTGTGCCCTTAGTGCCAACGACGTGTCTAGAGTGTATTTTCTTGGTTGTGACATACCTTTCTTTGTTTCGTGGGTGTTTTGCTATCTTGTGACGAGGTGTGAACCGACAGTCTGTATAGTTTTCCATCTGGTGTGGGTGAGTGACAGTATGATTTGTTTTTCATTACAGTAACCTATAATTAGTTAGATGTTGCCTCCTGATCAGTGAGTAAACTCCAACGAAACAGTTTATCAGAACCCCTCGTTTATATGGTTGATGCCCACCTTAAGGTATCAGTTGTCGAGCA